GACAGTTTTAACATATTTGAAGCAACATGTTCTTTGTTGAAAAACATTTCTACATATCAAGAACTGTTTGTCTCAAGGCAAGGGAACAAGCTACCAATGTCCTCATAAAGAGGATTTGGAGGACTTTTTTTTTTATTCCATGGAGCCTACTTACTAGAAGAGGGAAATTTTTCATCATTGGTCAAATATAAGTGCCACATACAGGCTCTCTAGGAGCATGATGAGGGACAGTTCCAAAAGCAACGTGCTTCTTCAGGTATCTGACCAAGGTTTGTGATCTGCCTGACTTTTGACCTGTGGTTGAAGAGTCCCGTTTACCCCTTGCAGCAGACGTTTGTCACCATGTAAATTATTTAAAATCAATAGGTTGGGATTTATTTTTACCTTGTAATTTTAATTTACTTTCTATACATAGTTATGCCGCTTTCTCAATCTTAATGTTGTGTATTTTTTCATTTTGCCTTACTTCATAGAAGTTGTACCTGTTTTATTGCCACTAATAAAATTTAGCTCTTGGGTTTAGTTATCATGTCTATAGTTTTGGTGTTTAGTTTTATATTTTATGTTTTAAACATGGTTTCTGATTTTATCTATATTAATCAACTTCTCCTACTTTACCCCTCCCTCAAATTTCCATAGCTTTTTGAGTTGAGTGTTAAGCTCATTTATATTCATATTGTTTAGTTATATGAGTTCAAAACCATGCATTTTTTCCCTCTCAGTACTTTGGACCTCATCACATAGTTTAACATATCATTATCTGTACGTTCTTTATGTTTCTGGTTTATAAATAGTTCATTACCCTCGCTTTTATTTCTTCTTTTACTCAAGAATTGGAGTATTCAAAAATTTCCAACGAATTGAATTTTTAAGTTGTCGTTAGTTTTCTTATTCTTTTTTTTATTCAACAGATTGTTAGGCAGCGTTTTCTCTGTGTCAGGAACCATAATAGATGCAAGGTATTGTGGAATGAATATAACCATCATGGTCACAGCCTTCATGGGAGTCATCCTTTGCTGAGTGAAACACAGATGTAATTGTGTAATTAGTCACAATTGTAATAAATGTTAAGGGAGGAAAAAATCTCAGAGTGGCCCAGCACTTCTAAATTTTACTGGAAGTAAAGTTGCCTGTTGTATTTAGTGAGCTTTTCCTTTTTGTTGTTTAATCTTGTTTTTCTTTTCCTGAATGTGAATGCTTTTAGTATCTGTTTGACTCAGGTAAGCAGATAGGTTGTTTTCTTGCATGTAGTTCTGATGGTTTCTTCCTGAGGCTTCCTGTAAATTCTGAAATCTAAAGGACCCTCAACGCATATGAGGTTTTCAGTTTATGGCACTACTTGTAATAAAAGTTTAAAACAAGTAAATGCTGCTATTTTTTTTTAATAAACCCTATATTAAAAAATTAAATCTTAAAAGACTTTTTCAGCATAATACATGTGCATGAATTTTAAAAATCACTAAATACTGAAAGGCTTAGTGAAGCAGCTAACACTCATTGCTCCGTCTCTGCATACCCCGATCATTCCCTAGAGGCAAACACTCAGCTATTTAGCAGTTTCTTCTGGTAGTTTCTACCATGTTTCCATCGATGTGTTTTTGCTACAATTTCTCGATCCACTCACTTTGGACAGTATATGATGAGTTCTTTGTAAGATGGATGTTGGTTTAGTTTTCCTGAACCATCTTCCCTCATTCTTCAAAAACACTCATGTTACCATAGTTACATCACTTTTGTTAAATGAGTATTCTTGTTTTAATTATTAGGAATGTGTAAGTATGGTTTTCCATAAATGGCTCGTCATTACTTAAGTGGTTAAGTATAAATAACATGTTCTTTCTGGAATATCCCTCTGTTTCCCTTGCATTTCTAATCCCCTTTTAAGGAAAAATTCTTACTCTAGCTACTGCTTATCTACCAGGTATTTTATATGTATATGTAGAATACACATATAAATGTATGTAATATTATATAATATCTTATCAGGTCTTATGTATATTATACATAAAATCTTTAAATTATTTTATTTAATTTTATTTTTATTATCATAATAAATTATGTCCATTCCCTTCCTCCACCCACCAATGTGCTATCCTATCAGGTTTTCTGTCGAGTCTTCTCTCTCTCTAGAGACCTCTCTTCTGGGGTGGAAGGATGTAGACCAGTCATTCTTAAGCCTTGCTGTTCATCTATTCTCGCTTTACTACTGCTGGTTTGGATCCACTGTTTCCTACATCCCGTATCCTCCTGTCCTTGGTTTATTCTTTCATTTTGCTAGGGGAAGTTCTCAAGTAGTATGCAAATGCTTACTTGGGAGATAGATGTTCTTTTTCATGTCTTCTAACATCCTGTGCATTCCTGCTGAGAAATCTGATGCCATCCTGAATCTCATTTGTGTCCACAGAATGGAGCAGATGAGTGAAGTTAACTAGACCAGGCCCTTCCGAATGTGTGTGTGTAGGTGGGGGTGGAGGGTGGGAAGGAAGTATGTGTGCAGAGGCAAGGTTCACAGAGGGAGGTGTGGTCTGGAGGAGCCTGGTTTTAAATTTGGAAAGTGTGCAAATGTGGCTGCCTTTGGTCGGCCCACTCCACTAAAGAACTCCAGTTGTTGGTTGGAGGTCAGTCTGCAGGGTGATCTTTAGGGACATCCTCCAGGACTCTGATCATGTTGGCCTCATGCCCATGTCAGGACACAGATGACCCCCTGATCAGCTCTGTGGTGCCATGCATCGAGGTACTTGACAGTCTAGGCAGATGGGCCAGACATGCCAGGGGACATGGGCAACCCCTCAGCTGGGTCCAGAGACCCGGTGGAGGCAGCCTTGGGCCCCAGTTTGGCTCAGCGGCAGTGTGTGTGATGGCATAGGCATTTGTTGAACTGCTGGATGAACGTGGGTGACTGCCAAAGGATTCAGTAGGCTTCTAGGTTGCATTAATAAAAAGATAACCTCCCAGCCAAAATGGTGAGGGGCCTGCTCAACTTTACAATGGGGCCATTCACAACTAGAGGATCTGGTTCTGTTCCAGGTATATGTTGTTTATTTATAGTGACTTTTTTATCCTTAAACGTTCATTTCAAATGCTTCTCTCTGCATATCTTCCCTTGACGCTTCCCTTGCCCATTATTTACCTACTGTTGGTCTGAGTTCTTATCTCTACTTACTTACTTCATGGTGCTGTAATATACATGTCTCTGCTCTACTGAATCAAGTTCCCCAAGGGTACTCTGACAAGTCACTTAATCCTTGTGATTATGAACCTGAAATAGCGGCAGTCGTCCTGGCTCCATCTTCGTCCCTGGGCTTTGTAAAGATCAGATGAGTTGTATGTTTTGGTGCTTTACAAGCAGCAAATGGGAGATGATGGCGTTATTTCCTGTCCATTTGCTAATATGATGAATAACAGCCTTAAATTAACAAGCTGGTTAAGCAGCCATTGTTCGTAGCGTCTGTGTAGCGTCCCCTGATGTGTCCCAAATTTCTCAATGAAAAAAAAAAACACCCCGCTGTTTATTCTCCAGCTTCTTTATTACTGGGGACATCCTTTCAGCTTTTTCTTTTGCCTCTCCTCTCTGAAGTCTTTAAGCTGTCACTGCTCAGCTGGGCTGTTGCGCAACTGTGTTCTCTGTGACGCCAGAGGCTGAGGATCAGGGAATTAGCCAAGGCAGCCTGAGTTCCCCGATGCACCAGACATGGCCTCAGTCTGGGATTTGCAGACCTGGGCCCCAGGAACCCAAAGAGCCGCTTCAGTTCGAAAGGCCGGCTTCCCCTGTTGCTGGGCAGTACTGCTGTCCTTCTCTCTGCTGGATGATGGAGCTGTTGGCCACTGGCCTACGTTAGTCTGATGGATATGGCAGGGTGGCTGGTCCTGGTCCTTGCACAGACCATGGGTTCTCAAAACCACACTTGACTGAGGATGCTCCTGGCCTAGGGTTCCTCTCCATTTATGCTCCTGGGCTCAGCCATGGATCTCAGATCCCAGAGGCACTGGCCCTGGAAGCTAAACTTGGGGCTTTCTAGCTTCAGCCACGTGCTGTGCCAGAGCCAACCCTCGCCACCGACCCTTTCCTGTATCTTCTTTTCAAATCTGTTCTCAGCTTAGATTCCTTTCCTCAAAGCCATTTTATTTAAGGAGCCTCATTGCCATTTCCTGGCACTGGGCCTTGACGTAGGACTTGCAGGATGACCACAGCATCAGGTCTGGAGAACCAGGATTCAGTTTCTATTCCTTTCTTCCAGGAAACCTCTTTATGAACACAGAGCCATCCTTTCCCTGGTGACCAGCTTTACATACCAGAGATCTCAGTCATAAAAGACATTACTTCTTTAATCTCTGGGCTGTGGGTATCTGCTTATCCTATAGTTGCGTAACTAAATCACCCCTTAGATGACAGCATGTGGAAAAAGGTTTAGTTTATTTTGACCAAAACACCGTAGCCAGTGTAAATAAGACACAGCCATGGACCACAGGGGATCTGGAGGAGATAGCCCTGATTGGAGAGATGGCCTGGCTAGGTGCACAGAATGGGCAGGCAAAGTGGGTGACATTTTGGGGGGGCCTTCAGTAATGGCAGAGATGTTGAGGAGAAGTAAGAAGTTGTGAATCCAGGGAGAGAGGCGTATTGAGGCTGTGAAATAACTCTGGGTGACCTTGAGGAATTTGCTTTACTCTCCGAGCTCTTTGTTGTGGTGGGGTCTGTGTGCCACGGTGGTGGTCATTATGCAGGGGATTCTGGTGTCGGACGGAACAATGGACTCAGTCACTCTGGAGGGTACCTTCTAAGTGTAAGGTTTTATGAAAAATGACTAAGTTGATCTGTGAAACGTTCCATCTCTACAAGACACAGCTTCTTACAATGCTTAGTTTCACCCAGGATTCTGCAGACCACAGACATACCATTTAGCACGTTTCCTTTTAGTTTTTGTCCACAGCTATCCTTTCTCTTTAGTTTCTTCTAGTTTGTTTGTCTTCTCTCTCATAATCTTTTTTTCTCCCACCAGCTTTTGAATCGAAAAGACAAGACCACCTTTGAGAAACTGGACTACCTGATGTCCAAAGAAGATAATTACAAGCGGACTCGGGAGTATATCCGAAGCCTGAAGATGGTTCCCAGTATTCCCTATCTAGGTAGGAGTCTGAATCAGATTATTGTTTTTTTAAGAAACCTACTCAGCACCAGATGAGGTGTTTTTACAGTTTCTAGTCGAGAAAGTTCCACGAAGCAGCATGGGTCATGGATAAAGAGGTTGGCTCTTCGGGTTAGAACAGGCTGTTGGTACTCCCTGAGAACGGGAACTTCCTGATGAGGGTCCCCGAACAAGGGATATTCTGCTGCTGATACAAATGCCCAGTGAATCCCAAGCCTCCCCAGCCTGTAGCTCAGAAGGATCACGAGACTCTTACTGGTCTATCTGCATCCTTCTGAACTGGGGGAGCATGTCAGTTGCTCAGTCGTGTCCAACTCTGCCACCCCATGGACAGGGGCCCGCCAGGCTCCTCCATCCATGGGATTTTCCAGGCAAGAATAGTGGAGTGGGTTGCCATTTCCTTTTGCAGTGGTTCTTCCTGACCCAGAGATCGAACCTGGGTCTCCCACATTGTCAGCAGACTCTTTACTGTTCTGAGCCTCTAGGGAAGACTGAACTGGGAGAACTCAGGCCCAAACCCCTGTGTTCTGGTTCTCTGAGCATTGCTAATATGTAAGATTTGTCTCAATGAAATTATTATAATGATTATTGATTTTACTGATTCAAAAATAATATGTGTTTATTGCAAGGAATCAGGAAGATAAGAAGATTAGTATCATTTGTTATCTCATCCAGAGATAAACATTATTTTGGTTCAAATCTTTTCATTCGTTTGGGTGCATATAAAATCTGTATGTTTACTCTATTGTGAACATTTAATGTTATTACCTGCATTTCTATACTGTGACTCAGTCCCACGTGGATTTGTCCAACTGAAATCTGCTCTCTAGTAATGACATATAAATTGTCTCTACATTTTTGCTTTTCTGCAGTGGCCATCCCTGTTGCATATATTTCCTATGTGTAATTATGATTATTATCTTCTAAGAAATTCCTGGAAGTGTGATTATTGGGTCAAAACTTACGTGAAATTGTATGCCTTTTCACATATATTTTGAAAACGCCCTCCATAGAGGTTGTAGCAATTTATGTTCACATTAGAGGGCAAAGAAATTGCCTATTTTCCCCATGTGCACAAATGCTTTGTGTTTTCATGTGCTTTTTTTCCTTTATCATTCCTTTTTTTCCTTTGCCATTTTGACAGGTTAAAAATACTTCTCATAGTTTTGTTTTCACAGTTATGCTAATTTTATGATATAAAATAATACTAAGAACAAGGCAAATTAAGATTTTATGGATATGACCCCTAATATTTTCAGAAATCTAGTGCAAGTTTTTTGAGATACATTTTTGACAACTTTTAAATGTCCTCTTTGAGCATTGTGTATTCAGTTTTTTAATTCCTTTAAAACTAATTTTGAAAATTAAACTTTAGTAGAAAATTGTTCATTTGATCCAAGTCTTCAAAATGATTAGCATAAAGTTTTTCCTCACTTAATTTGTTTTGACTGAAAAATTTTGTGTAATTGCTTATACATTTTAACCTCCTGTGTATATGGGTTTATCTTTGCTTTGCATTCCTAATAGCTTGCATTTTCATTTTCTCTTTCTTTTTTTTAAATTTGCTTTGCCAGAGGTATGTCTGTTGGTTTTTCCTAAGGATTAGACTCTATATTTGTGTATCAGTCACACTGTCTTCCTGCTTTCTAATCTACTATATTCCATCAGTCTAGGATGTGCCTTTTCTCTCTGCATTTTTAAACCTCTCAAATTGGGATGCATCTTTCACTTGGTGGTAACAAAGCATTATGACGCTGGTTAATTGGTAGCAGTGTTCCTTATGATACATAAAATAATGATGCATCCTAAATTTATAATAGATGACATCCTAAATTTGATGAAATATGGAATTTATTCTTTTGTCTTTTATGATTAATTTCTTCTGCTTTCCTTAAGTTGTTTTGTATTGTAAACAAATTATTGGCTTATTTGTGTATACATTATTCTTCCCATTTTCATTGGAAAATAGTTACTGGTATACATTTCCCTCTAACTGATGCTTTTGTTGTATCCTACGTGTTTAAATGTATAGTATGCTCACAATAGTCTTAAAAGTGTTCAATAATTATAGTTTCAATTTTTCTTTCATGCAAGTGTTATTTAAGGTAGTGGTGTTTTAAATTTCCAAGAGCTTGAGTTTTTTGTTTTTGGTTTTTTTCAAATGGCTTTATTGAGTTGTAATTCATGTATCACCCATTTAAAGTGTACAACCAGTGGTTTTAAAATATTCACAAAGCTCTGCAACCATCTGCAAAATCAATTTTAGAACGTCTTTATCGTCCCAAAGAGAAACCCCGAACCTGTTCGTAGTCGCTCCTTTTCCTCTAACCACCTCCCTTCCACTCGCTCACCTTCAGCCCTAGACAACTGCTGATGTACTTTCTGGCCTCATAGCTTTGCTTATTTGGGACGTTTCATATGAATTGAATTGTAAAGTGTGGTCTTTTATGACTGGCTTCTTTCCCTGAGTGTTATGTTTTCAAGGTTCATCCATGTTAGAGCATGATCAGTATTTCATTCCTTCTTTTTTTTTTTTTTTTTTTTAATGAGTTCAGTGCTTTTTATTTTTTTTTTCTTTTTTTTTTTTTTAAATTTTTATTAGTTGGAGGCTAATTACTTTACATCATTACAGTAGTTTTTGTTATACATTGATATGAATTAGCCATGGATTTACATGTATTCCCCATCCCAGTCCCCCCTCCCACCTCCCTCTCCACCCGATCCCTCTGGGTCTTCCCAGTGCACTTGCCAAATAGTATTCCATTGAATGGATGCACCACATTTTATTCTTTTAAACATTTATTCGTTTATTTCTGGCTGTGCTGGTTCTTTGCTGCCGCGCAGGTTTTTCTCTGGTTGCCGTGAACGGGGGCTCCTCTCCAGTTGCAGTACACGGACTTCTCCCTGCAGTAGCTCTTCTTGTTGCAGAGTGCGGACTCTCGAGCACCTGCTCAGTAGTCGTGGCACACGCGCTTGGGTGCTCTGAGCATGTGGGATCTTCCCGGACCAGGGATTGAACCCGTGTCTCCTGCATGGGCAGGTGGATTCGTTACCACAGAGTCACCAGGGGAGCCCCACCACATTTTACTTATCTGTTCATCATTTGAGGGACACATGAGTTGTTTCACTTTTGCGTTACTGTGGATAACACTACTATGAAGGACTTTGGGTTTTAAGAACAGTCTTCTCTCTAATTTTTTCAACATTGGTTTTCGGATATATGACCCATATGCTTTTGAGGTTTTTAAAAAAAACGTTGATATTTGTCTTGTGATTTAATATAAGATCAATTTGTGTAAATGTTTCGTGGGTGCTAGAGAAGATGTAATCTCACAAGTTACTCTTATAATTACATTATAACATTCAGATTTTTCATTTTTGACAACCTGGTCAATCAAGAACAGAAATATATGTTAGAGTCACTTTGCCTTTCTGATAGTTTCTGCCTTACATTATTTCATATACAGTTGACTCTCCATACCCCTGGGTTCTGAATTCATGGATTCAGCCAACCCAGGGCTGAAAATATTTGAAAAAAGAAATCCACAAAGTTCCAAAAAGCAGAGTTTGAATTTGCCATATGTTGGCAACTATTTACATAGCATTTACATCGTATTAAGTATTATAAGTAACCCAGAGATGATTTAAAGTACAGGGGAGGGTATGCGTAGGTTGTATGCAAATTCTGTGGCATTTTACATAAGGGACTTGAGCATCCCTGGATTTGGGTATCTGCAGAGGTCCTGGAGCCAATCCCTTGTGGATATCCGTCAATGACCGAATAGATGTTTTTAACAGTTGCAGATTTGTTATGAAGGGTCCCATGCAAAATGATCTTGATTCCATTTATTATTTGCTTTTATTTCATTGCTGTTGATTCTGTGAAATCTGATTTATTTTTCCTTTGCATTCATTTTATAAATCTTTGACTGTATTTTGCACTTTGATATTTTAAGTTGTTTTAAGTGTGATCCTTGAAAATCATATTTGTGTGTGCTTGTGTGTGGTTAGTTGCTCAGTCGTGTCCGACTCTTTGCAACCCCATGGACTGCAGCCCGCTAGGCTCTTCTGTCCATGGGATTCTCCAGGCAAGAACACTGGAGTGGGTTGCCATGCCCTCTTCCAGAAATCATATTTAGTTGGGCCCAATATGAGAGACCTTGCCTTTTAGTAGGGGAGTAAAAGTCTTTCCCGTGTGTTTAGACTTAAACAGTGTTATTGAATCATTATTCTTTTTTTTTTCTTTTATACTTTCTTATTCTTGCCTTGTTCTCGTCTTAGAGCTTGCTGTAAATTTAGTGTCCTTCCATTTAGGTGACCATCACTATCTCAGATATGTAGATGGTTGGGCATGCCCAGCTGCCAAGCCCATTCCCACCTTGCCTGAGGCTGATCGATCAGAAAGTGGGTTGGTGGCATTAGGGTGGGGGCAACCCCTGGTTTAACCAGCACACGTGTTCCAGGGTTAAGGATGGCCTCTTCTCTCTCATACAATGATCACTAGAGTTGCTGTTGATCTTCTGCTTCCTCTGCGCCTGGCACTTGGCTAGGCGCTTTAATGTGTCAACTCAGTGAATGCTCACCATGGCCCAGTGAGTAAGCAGGTGCTGAGAGGTTGCCTCGGGTCACATAACAGGAGCGTGGCAGAGCCAGGCCTCGGCCCAGATGGCCTGGCCGTCAGCCCTCGGCTCTGACGCTGCCCTCTCCCGACTCCCCACCTCCACTGCTCGGGTCATTATCCTCCCTTTCGATTGTCACCTGTATGTCCTCTGCTATTTATGACTTGTGGATGGTCTCTGTCGGGCACTGACACAGTGGGATTAATAATGCTGTGGGATTAATACACTTGATACAGGCGGGATAGATTGTCTTGGCACTTCCCTGTGACGCTGCTCATGGACCACAAAGCACTGCTGTCTTGGGCTTCTGAGGGATCGGTCACTGGGCCTCAGCCAAGCGCATACTGGACCAGTAATGTCT